TCTTGAAAGTCCCAACAGCTAAGTGTAGAATGCCAAGCACACACAGTGTCTATGTGACAGGAAAGCTGACTGGCCAAAGGTGCAACTTTGTCATAGACTCTGCGTCTCAGCAAATCCTTGTGAGCATCAAGGTGTTAGATCATGAAGGAGTACCAGAAGCCATACAGAAGCTTTATGGTGTGACAGGACATTCTGCAAGGTTGTGGGGACCAGTGTGGGTAACTATTGAGCTCATGGACATAAAGGACAGACAGGAAGTATACTTGGCTGACATTGAAGATGAATGCATATTAGGATTGGACTATCTACTACCAAGGAAGTTTGTAAATGAGTTTGATAAAATGACGTTTGGGAATAACAAAGGCCAAGTTCCGGTAACTGTTAAAAGAGAGGTTGAACTAATTAGGTGCCATCAAGGTGAAGTCAAAGTGACTGAAGAAGTTGATGATGACGAAGTGGAACTAGGTATAGATATTAAAGCAGAGCAGGAGAAAGACCAGGATTTAGTCAATGATTGATTTTCTAAAAGCGAGTGTTGTGCGCCCTGCTTGGGAGAAGATGTCTAGTCAAAGCCCTGTGACAAAGCACTATTGGGCACAATGGGACCAATTGAAGCTTGAAGATGGTATTCTTGTACGGAGATGGGAAACTACAGATGAGAAAGTGACGACTTGGCAAACAGTTATACCGAGGAAGTTACGGGAAGTTGTGCTGCGTCAATCCCATGATAATTTAACAGGAGGACATCACGGAATTAGGAAGACATTGAGTCATCTACGACAAAGATTTTACTGGATAGGTATGAGGCGAGATGTGGAAGAATGGTGCCGGACATGCAGTACATGTAGTGCTAAAAGGGGACCCAAGCATAAGGGATGCCCACCTTATGAAGAGTTGCCTGAGAATGTGTCAGAGTTTGTGAAAGTGTTATCGGAAAGGATGGATGATATTCACCATCAAGCGCGTTCAAACTTGAAAACGTCTGCTGATTCGATAAAGCTAACATATGATAAGAAATCTCCTGAAGTCAGC